GTACTTATGTGCGTATATGTGCCTATGTGCCTATGTGCATGTATGCGCCTGTGCATGTGTGCACCTATGTGCATATGTGTGCCTATGTGCCTATGTGCCTATGTGTGCCTGTGTGCATGTGTGTGCCTATGTGCATGTGTGTGCCTGTGTGCATGTGTGCCTATGTGCATGTGTGCGCCTATGTGCATGTGTGTGCCTGTGTGCCTGTGTGTGCCTGTGTGCCTGTGTGCACGTATGTGCCTGTGTGTGCCTATGTGCATGTGTGTGCCTATGTGCATGTGTGTGCCTATGTGCATGTGTGCACCTATGTGCACGTGTGTGCCTGTGTGCATGTGTGTGCCTATGTTCAGGCATGTGGAGGTGTAAGGCTGATGACAGGAGTTTCCTTCAGTCGTTCTTCACTGTTCATGTTGCGATGGGCTCTCTCAGTTGAACCCAGATCTCACTCAAGCAGCCCCTATCACTAGCCACCTTGCCTCATCTGTACAATCTCCACCCTCTGAGCACTCCCTGGCTTACAGGCAGCTACCATGCTCACTTGAAATTTTCTGGGGATCCAAGCTCCAGTCCTCAGCCTTGCTGCTTATGCAGCAAACATTTTAAGTATTAAGTCATCTCTCCAGACATTTTGCTTTGTAAATACTTATATTTCACATATATGTGACATTATGCAATATTCCATTGTATAATATACTCTAGGTATAAGGAACACATCTATTTAAAGGCTGAAATACACACACATACATACTACACACATACATATGTGTATTGCACTTGACTGCCTACTCCTCTTTCCATCTCTTCGTCCTACCTGGAAGGTCACAGCCTTTGGATGACATCTGCACTTTCATATTCACTGCAGCATTGTCCTCTAGGTTTTGAGTCCTCTGAATTTGTCCATTTCTCAAGTCTCAGGTATGCTTTAGGGCTTCAGTGGAGGCAGTTGGTGTGTGGAGACTCAGTCCACGGATCCCCCGGGGCAGCCCTTGCTCTCCTTTCTGTTCAGATGCACTGTGACTTTCTCTCGTCTGTCACTCAAACACGGACACTGCTGTAGGTCCACCAGCTTCCCAGCCTTCCCTGGGTCTCTGTAGAGCTGCTCATCCAGGAGCCGGTGGGCGGCTCCCACACTAGATGGCACTCTCTTCAGCCACTGCCATGGCTGCCAGGCCGGGGTCAGCCCTTCCCTGGCGCTTCCGCTCTGATCGCTGCTCCATAGCCATTCAGGAAGCCAGGCCCAGAAGAGCTGGGACACCTCCAAGGTCTTCACTGTGCTCTGGGACCAAGCATAAAAGTGGGGTACTTGTTATTTTCTGACTTCCTGATGACATCTAGCTTGGGTGACAATTTGGAAAGAATTAGGGTGAGCATCCCTGTTCTGGATATATGGAATCCAAAATGTTCTAGCACAGGAAATGGCTAAATTTGGAATTTTGGATTAGGAATGTGCAACCTTGTGCATATGCAGATATTTAAAAGAGCCTGATGTGGTGGCACATGCCTAGAATCCCAGAGTAAGGAGTTCAAGGTTATCTCTGGCTACAGAGCTGAGTCTCAGGCTAACCTGGGCTACATGAGGCCCTGTCTCAACAAAACAAAAAAAACAAATAAAACACAAAAACTGAAATATGAAACATTTATTTTAGATAAGGGATACTCAACCTGTAGCACAAGGCTGAGGAATGTGGCCCTTCCTTAGCTCCTCTTGAGTATTGAGGGTTCATATTGGCTGCCCGTGATTGCCACTGCTGTACAGCTGTCTTAGGGGTTCTATTGCTGTGAGAGGCACTATGACCATGGCAACTCTTATAAAGAAAACAATATGGAAGACGGTTGTTTGGCTCAAACTGTTTGGGGGCACCCAGGCAGGGGGTGGGGATCCGTCCCTAGTACATGGGCAGGCTTTTGGGAGCCCGGTTGACTGTGGTGTAACGCCTTGCACAGCCTTGGTGCAGTAGGAAGGGGCTTGGACCTGACTAGGTTCAGTGTGCCGGGCTCTGCTGACTCCCCATGGGAGATCTTGATTTGGGGGATGTGGGGATGTGGGGTGGCTAGGGAGAGAGGGCTGGAGGGTGGGAGGAGGGATGAGGGAGGATCTGTGGGTGGTATGCAGAGGGAGTAGAAAATGTCTTCTTTTTCTTTCTTTCTCTCTCTCTCTCTTTTTTTTTTTTTTTTTAAGATTTATTTATTATGTATACAGTGTTCTGCCTGCATGTATCCCTGCAGGCCAGAAGAGGGTGCCTGATTTCATTACAGATGGTTGTGAGCCACCATGTGGTTGCTGGGATTTGAACTCAGGACCTCTGGAAGAACAACCAGTGCTTCTAACCTCTGAGCCATCTCTCCAGCCCAGAAAACTTAATACAGAAAAATGAAAACAAAACAAAACAAAAAACCCGAAAAGCAATTAACTGTAGGCTCGCTCACAGTTTCAGAGGTTCAGTCAGTTATCATCATGATGGGGAGCATGCTGAGAGTCCTATATCTTGTAGGCAATAGGAACTCCACTGAGACATTGGGTCATATTCTGAGCATAGGAAACCTAAAAGCCCGCCCCCACAGTGACACACTTCCTCCAACAAGGCCATGCCCACGCTAATAAAGCCACACCTCCTAATAGTGCCACTCCCTATGAGATTATGGGGGCCAATTACATTCAAAGTACCACAACAGCTTTACCCTCTCCCTTTATTCTGTGAGCAGCTGGGGCACGAATACCTTCAGGCACAGTGCTGGGTATATTGCAGTAGCAAGTAACAGGAGTGACCCTGGTGTCCTATGGCTTGCATCCTGGTGGAGGTGACTTTTAATGATCTTTTGGTTGTCAATCAAGCACCTTTCTTTCTTTCTTTCTTTCTTTCTTTCTTTCTTTCTTTCTTTCTTTCTTTCTTTCTTTCTTTCTTTCTTTCTTTCTTTCTTCCTGCCTTCCT